AAAAAAAAAACACGGGTTCCCAGCAGCCCGCATGCCCTATCTAGTGCGCTCGATCGCCGCTTGGGGGCATTCTAGGGACCTATAACGGTACAGAGGGGTATATGTGTCCGAGGACAACAATGTTCAGGGCTTCTACTACGGGTCTTGTACTTCTAACCTTGACCGGCGAAGGAAGGGCCTATAGACTCCATATCAGGACCCTCCTTGTACCCTTNNCATATAGAGAGTAGATGGAGGGTCTGGGTAGACTAGTTGTCTTGAATTCGGGGCTGAGTGTCAGGTTTTCGCTACAGATGGAATTGACAAGCAACCGCCTTCCTTTTTGCTTGACCCGAAATGTTTTGATCTTTGTATACTCCTCTTCTCGTTTCCAAGTTTTGCACCGTACAGTTTTTGTTGTTAATATGTTTTTGTTCCTTCTCTGTTTTTCCCAACTCAAACCCCCTAATTTTGCACTTCGCGACGCGACGTGACATAAACCTGTGGCGCGAGGTTATTATACAACTCCAGGTTTGGTTTAGGGTTTAGGGTTTAGGGTTTGGGGTATATACTTTGATGGCTGGGCGGAACCATTTGTCCACGGCAAACTGGCCAAAGCATGCAAGCAAGGTGGCAAAAGCTAAGCTACCATCATTACAGCATACAGTACTACTTACAGTGTGAGCATGGTTAGTGAGAGTTATGACAACAAACTATGCTGACATGAGTAGTGGATAGTGTTGCGAGCAGAGCTATTGCCAGCATCGTGCTTTCGACTGCTGATCTTGGTTTGGGTTCCTTGCAGGGTGCATCGCTACAATGGTTGCCAATAGTATTGCGCGGCCACCAACGTTATCCTTGCTATCATGGATGCTGCCTTTCTGATGCTGAATGTGATCCTCACTTCTGGTTGTAGATGCGAGTGGTTCTTCTTATGCCCACAATCGCAATTGCTAAACATGGCCAACACCAGTACTGTCGTGTTTCTGCTGTAGGTTTGACTGCTGCTGCTGCTGGTGCTGCTGAGGCTAAGGTCAAGCCTTGCAGTCGCCATGTCTAATTTAATGTTGCGATACCCAGAGGGTCCAAATCCCCGATAATTGGGTACTTAGGTTTTTGGTAATCATAGATATAGTACAGGTTTTGGGCAAGCATGTAATTATTAGGTACTTGGACCCTTGGAGATACATAGGGAATCCCAGAAAGAATGATGTGCAGCCAACGGCCCAACGAAAATCCGTGTCGTGCCCATCTAGAGGGATTCCTCATGGGGCCAGCTCAATCCCCGCGACCCTAAACCCTAAACCCTAAAACATCCCACAGCTGGGATGAATTGCTCTCAAGTAGCATATCGTAGGGATTCAAAAATGACTGAGCATGTTGATTGTTCTCAAAATTATGGGCCCCTTGTGGTTACATAAATAGTACGGCACCTAAAATTCAGGGGTATCAATATGGGACCCTACTTTTGGGAGCCCCCCATATTGATGTTGCATGGGGAATGCCAATTACCGCGTCATCCCGGCTAGGCTGTTCTATCCTCTAATTATACTTGTCATGACAACTTGCCATGCAGATGCTGGTAGGGGGGCTGCGGTTTGCGGAGGAACTCTTGGATGTGCGCTCCTTAACTGTCATACTATGATACGATACTTTTGACGGGCACCCACGGGCCCCTCTCTGAACAGAACCTACAAACAGAACACAAAAATGGCACCAAAGATGGATGCCTCAATCCCGCAAAAGAAGACGGGCGTGGCTGTTTTTAGCTTTTCGCAGATCACGTCATTTTTGTACCCTTAGTTCCATACCCTGGAGCTCGACGTTGCCAGGATCTCCAACGGATTCCCGTGCTGGTGGAATGAATTGCCTCCTCTTGCGCATCTTGAAACACAAGAAGTACAGTAGGCACGACAGCGGCAGTAGCAGGAGGAAAAAAAGCCAAGGATACCAACCTTGGTGGTACATTCAAGGCTGCCAAGAATGTTTGGGCAAGTTTCAAACATTAGGGTGCCCCCTTCTGCAGAGTCCTGATAATGAGGACTATAATGTATTTGGTTTGGGTCTCGATTGGGGCCCCATTTGTTGCAACCGCCATTGGTGCTCAGGTCCTCCTCTTACGACAATACGGAAATTTGATAAGTGAAAATTATCCCAAATTGCACACCTGGCAACTGGAGCCCGGCTGAAAGGGGTGAGCCGGAGGGGCATATATGCTAAGAAGCTTCTCGCACTTGGAGGATGAATCGGCCTTGACTTTCTGATACTACATTGTGACAAATCATCATGCTTAGGGTTTATTGGGTTCCAGTATGCAGAATGCAAAAAGGTTGTGTAACAACAGCACAGTTGCCAGTAGGACATCTTTGATGTCCGCGGCCTGCCGCTCTTCCCGCGGACGCGTGAAGGGGAAGTACTCCGTTTGGATGTGCTTCGCACCATCGCCAACCTCAGCTCTGCATGGGATTGTTTAGGGTGTAGGAGTTGGTTTAGGGTTTAGGGTTTAGGGTCTAGGGTTTCCGCAACAGGGGCTGGGGTTTGGGCCTTCGGCCCCCCTGTCCACATCACGCACACATTGTGCGTGTGGGCCATGACCAAAATCGCTACAGTAGGGTCCCCCTTCATCTACCCGACGGTCAGCAGAAGGGACCCGTAATGTTTTCGGGGCCCCCAGATTCCCTCTACAACACCAGACGTGAAAAATGGGGCATTGAATCTGCTGGGGGAAGGGACTTTCGACAGGCATTTGGCATGTTGCATTCCAAGGCCATTACAAACTGAAAAGCCCACCCTTCCAGAAACTGACATGGAACCCCAAACGCGGCCCTACACAGACTACGTCTCGTCAAAGAAGAGCTGTGTGGGTTGGAGGACAGGCACTGATACAAACAGGGAATGTCGCCAAAAAGCGATTCACCCTTGCGTTTTTAGTGAGGTGTTTATGCATTAGAGATTTGATCGCCTTGTCTTGGGGAAGCTCCCACAAACCCTAGGGATCCAAGTATACAAATATTACCTACATTGGGCCCCAAAGACTGTAAGTATTACCTACATTGGGCTATTTGGATCGCTTGAATTCCCTAAACCCTAAACCCTACAACCCTAAACCCTTAAACCCCACAAAGGAAGGCCCAGCAACGGCCAAGTAGGTGTTATTCGTGCACTTGGACAATGTCCAGCGGTCCAGCAGAAGCGCTGCCTTTGACATCCGAAGCTCCGCTAGGTGTAGGGGCTTAGGGTTTAGGGGTTTAGGGTTTACGGTTTAGGGTGCAGGGTTTAGGATTTATGGGTTTAGGGTTTAGGGTTTATGGGTTGTACCCATTGGGGTAATATTAGGGCTATATAGGGGATAATGGAAAAAACATGGAAACTACAGGAATTGTAGGGGTTATAAAGGGGCTATATACTAGGTATTATAAGTTTAGGGTTTAGGGGAAATGCTCTCCCCCTAGCATTGAAGCCCCCCGACCCGCTAATATCAAAATTTCCCAAGGAAATATAGCAGACCACACTGGCAAGATTTCAGATATTGTGAATTGTATGTACTAGGTGGAGAAACATATATGAAGATTTATCCTTACTGAGGTTGGGGGGGCAGGCTTCGGCTTTTTGTGTAGGAATTAGGGGTTGCGATTCAACCAACAAGCACAAAGAACAACTGAAGTCTGGGAGGAGAAAAAAGCGGAGACTATTGATAGAGGGCCCAAAATAAATACTATTCCAGAAAAAGCTCACCCAGCCCCTAAACCTAAATTCCTTACATCCCTTGTACTGAATCGAGCCCGAAGCTGAGATCCAAGTTGCAGGCTCTTGGCCAGTGACGCCCCGGTTCTGGTGTTCATCCTTGTGGGAGCTGTCTACCTTGTTGGATGCAGACATTCGCTCCGAGCTTGGGGTTTATGATCTAGCTTGGGTCAAACAACTCAAAGCCCTAGGGCCATCCATGCCTCCAAGTTAAAGGACTTAAAACGGAAATGCATCTTGCCTGTGAAGAAATGAATCATGTGGAAGAAGTTCAAACAAGGCCATGCGCAGGTGATTAAGCATAACTCCCAACAAACCTTCACATGTTCAAGCAGCTAGCGCGAGAGGTACTACTCGCGCTAAGGAAGCAAACCAAAACATCTGGTCTTCCAAGAGACCGAGACACATCCCTAAAGCATAGACCCTGAACGCTAGACCTTAAACCGTTGGTCCCCAAAAGACCTAAAACCTTAAGCCTAAAACCCTAATCCTAAACCCTTAACCCCTATCTCCTAAACCCTGAACCCTAAAACCCTATAATCCTCAACCTTCGCCCAGTCTGCCCCAGGATAGCAAGCGAAGACGCATCCACCAGCCGGTCCAGGGCACACATCTCGGAAGAACCTCAGTGTTTAGGGTGTAGGATTCAGGGTTTAGGGTGTAGGATTCAGGTTTTAGGGTTTCAGGTTTAGGATTCAGGGTTTGGGGGTTAGGGTTTAGGATTCAGGGTTTAGGGGTTTGGGATCCAGGCTTTAGAATTTACAGTAAGGCTCAGTTCAGGCTGAGGGTTTACTTGCTCAGGAGTAGCAGGGGCTTAGGGTTCAGGGTTCAGGATTTAAGGTTTAGGGAGCGGAGCATCAAAATCAAATGGAAACGCAAGTGGAAAACGTATTATATGGAATCTGGGAGGGGGGGGGGGGTGGATATGTCAAGTCTAGGGTTTAGGGTTAACTTGCGGGCGGCTAGTACCGTAGCTGAGTAGGGAACGAAGGAAGGTCAGCGAAATGAAAGCAACTGTTTCGGGCTTGGGATTCAATGAAGGGACGGAAAAGATACTGAAAGCTACTGTTCAGGGTTTAGGGGGCTAGTAGGTAGTAGGGAGTGAAGGAATGGAAAAGAATAAGGAAGCCACACTAGTTTCGGGAATGTATATAGGAACCACTCAGCGATCCCTATCCATTCCCAACCTGAACTAGCCCTAAACCCTAGGCCCCAAGCAACCTGCAAGTCTGGAGGTCAAGGCATAGTGTGTCTGTCACTGCTGTGTGATTGTATTTGCTTTTCAGAACTGGAAGCTTGCTGGGAATTTAGGATCTCGGGAATTTCGGAGTAGTTCAGCCCGTGCATTCCGAAACGTGCAATGAAACTCATATGAGGACTGAGGGAAAGCTATTGAGTTCAGAGTGGCTAGGTTAATGTCGGAAGTATTCCGGGAAACAGCCTCAAGGAGTGAGAAAAAGGCTCAGGGTCCATTGGGTAGCTTTCTTTCTCTGTTCCCGAAACGGGTTAAGGTCTGGGGTTTAGGGTCTACGGAAGCCTCCAATCCCAAGACCCTATACAAAGCATAAACCCCAAACTCCAAACCCTAAACCCCGAATCCTAAACCCTATTAGGAAATTCTCAACATTCCAGCCTGGAAGACACCTTCGGCACGGACCAAACCTGCCAGCATCGGACGCAGACATGCGGATCTCTTTTAGGGTTTTGGGTTTAGGGATTTGAGTTTGGGATTTGGGTTTAGGAAGTTTCTGAGAGCAGGGTCACCTTTAGGATCCTAGAGGTATATGTTCCTTACAGAGGCACTATGCGGGGGGCTTGGGGAGTCAGGGAGGTCTTCCGTAAAATTGTAAACCCCACATGTCTCTGACTTCGGGAACTGCAAAATGCTGTTTTAAGTTCCGTGTATCTCACTCAGCAATCTGCTCTCCAACCGTTCAGACTGGGCTTCTCAGTAACCAACAAGAAAGTACGTATATGCCCTCGGGGTCTATTGCAAATATTGTGGAATAAGTCGAACAGGCGTTTGCTACTGACACGTGCAGGTCTTGGGTTCCATATTAAGCAACAGCCTAGGCAGGTTCCACACGACCTTGTTGTGAACTGCACAATGATATACCCTATTATGCTATAGTAGTTTCCAGTTTATTTTAATTATCCCTATATAACCCCAATATAACCCCGATGTAACCCCTATATAACCTCAATATATACCCTATATAACCCTACAACCCTCATTATAACCCCATTCAACATGTTTGGGGGGGGCGTGCACCTCTGCAATCCCCCCTTGCATCCCTAGAGTCGTCTTGTAAGAGCCACACACCTTTTCAAGAAAGTACCGGAACATGAAAACTTGACTCAGCAGTATGTAGAACAATGGCCTTTGTGGCTACTTTAAAGGTTTTTGGGGCTAAACCCTAAACCCTAAATCCCCTAAACCCTTTTTCTATTTTACCTACTTGAGGGGTTTGGGTACTGGACTCTGCACGAGTCCAGGTGATGGGTACAACCCTAAACACTAAACCCTAGACCCTAAACCCTTATAACCCTTAACGCTAAACCCTAAATCCTACACCCCAAACTCTAAACCCTAAACCCTTAACCCTTAACCCTACACCCTTAACCCTAAACCCTAAACTCTACACCCTACACCCTAAACCCTTAATTGTTTTGTAGACGGCAAGGCGGCCTCTACTTCCCTTTCTTCTAGCTAGCTTGATGAGTTGCAAGACCTGGAATTAAGCGAGTTTTAGGACCCTTCCCTTTATGCACCGCTTCGAGTGAGAACAGGTGAGTTCATTATGATTGGCTCCGATTTTTCCACATGAAATAGTTCCTGAACATATTGCTGAAACCACCCCACCCACACTCCCCCAGCAAGGCTCATCAAAAACGACCTCAGATCGAGACGAGCTCACTTCACAAAAATTATTTACTTCGAGCATCCCCACCCTAAAGCCGTCATTTCATTGCACAAGAAGTGTATATGACGTTTCCCTCCCCCCTGTCAACTGTCTTCCTTGCAGCACTGCAAATGCGCTGCAAGAACATTGATACTCTGCGGTTGGGCACTGCAGACATACTCTGCGGTTGGGCATTGCAGGGATACTTGGTGGTTGGGCACTGCAGGGATACTTGGTGGTTGGGCACTGCAGGGATACTTAGTGGTTGAGCACTGCAGGGATACTTTGCAGTTGGGCAGTGGAAGGATACTCTGCGGTTGGGCACTGCAGACATACTCTGCTGTTGGGCACTGCAGGGATACTTGGTGCTTAGGCACTGCAGGGATACTTGGTGGCTGGGCAGTGTAAGGATACTCTGCGGTTGGGCACTGCAAGGATACTTGGTGGTTGGGCACTACAGGGATACTCTGTGGTTGGGCACTGCAGGGATACTTCGTGGTTGGGCACTGCAGGGATACTTGGTGGTTGGTCACGAAAGTCAGCTTCTAGT